CAGGAACGGATCCAGGGCGCAGGCAGGTTTCAAAGTTTAACAAAAAGTTTTAATAAACAACAAAAAGAGAGCTGCTGGCAGCAAACTTACAAAAACTGTAGATCATCAGCACGAGGGGAACAAAGCTCAGGGAATCAGGACCGACACAACACATGAAACAATCAACAATGATCCCACGAAAGACAGAGACAGGACAGGGCTTAAATACACAGGAAACTAATAACTGAAACACAAAACACCTGAGGAGAAACACAAGGGTGACAATCAAACAAATCGGGAGCAGCTGAGCTGTGAAACACTGGGGAAGCAGAAACACTAGGAAAACTTATGAGAAGACAGAACAAACCATGACAATAGGGTGCTCCAACTGTGCACAGTATCATTCTGCTGTGGGACTTCAATGCCCAGATTGACAGAATTGGTGTGGCTGTACCAGTCCACTGTGACAAAGATGGAGCAGAGTTCAAGGCAATAATCTGTTTTCTGGTTATTCTACAATCCTAGTCTCACCTACAGGCAGGAGCTTTGGATGGTGAGTGAAAGAACAAGATCTTGGATACAAGTGGTCCGAATGAGTTTTCTCTACAGAGCAACTAGTCTCTCCCTTACAGATAGAGTGAGAAGTTCAGATATCTGCTAGAGACTCAGAGAAGAGCCACTGCTCCTCTACATTAAGAGGAGCGAGTTGAGGTGGCTTGAGCATCTAGTAAGGATGCTGTCTAGATGTCTTCCTACGGAGGTGCACGTCCACTTAGGAGGAGATCCTGGGAAAGACACAGAACATGCTAGAAAGGCTACATGTTTCAGCTTGCCATCTTTTTTGGAATATTCTCAGAAGACCTAGAAGAGGAGCTGTAGAAGGAGATGTCCGGGTCTTTCTTCTTATACTGCTGCCATGGGGACCCAACCTCGGAACAAGTGGCAGATAATGGACAAATGAAATAAGTATAACACCTGTTGAAATAGCCCCCACTAATGAAACAGGTTTTTCAACCTTGAAGTAGTAGGATCCATCTCCAAACAAGAGACATCATGAGGACCAAGGAACTCTCCACATATGCCAGAGAAGAGCACAGATTGGGATTGCGGTAATAAAATCTCTGGAGATGATGGTGCAAAGAAGGATTTTATATAAAATCAAGAACATTGTGGACAACCCTGACMATTCTCTTTATCAGACTGTCATAGAAAAACAGAGTGTCTTCAGTCGGAGGCTTCTTCAATTTCGCCGTAATACAGACAGCTACAGAAGGTCTTTCCTGCCCACAGCCATCAGCATCTACAATAACTCTTTAGGTAAATGAGTTACAACAACACCTAAACACCTAATTTCCCTCTGGGATCAATAAAGTAATTTTCAATTGAATTGAACTGAACTAAAATTATACCAGAACCAAGGACATCCCGTGTAGCTTCAATAAATTCAAATATGTCAAAAGAGGGTCATCCACCAAAAGTTACAGAGAATGTAAGGACAACATACAGAGAAATATCCAGCAGGCCAAAGATAACCCTGAAAGAGCTGGGCAGCTCTTTTGTAAATGTGGAAGTTTCTGTCCATTATACCAGAGATTCTTAACCTATGGGCCGCGGCCCAATTGTGGGCCGTGAGCGCCACCTTGAGGGCCTCAAAAGAACAACAGTTTTTAACTTTGGGCCGCAGAGGGCCGTGGGACCACATTGATTTTGAATAAGGTGCAATACACTTTTCTCACCACTAGTAGCAGTAGTGCACCACTCAGATGTTTAACAACCTTTTTAATATGTAGAAGAAAAACCTTAGAAACCTGCCGAGAATGGAAACCTATTTTAAATTAAAAGTAGAAGCAAAAATGAAAGTAACTCATCAAAAAACTCCAAAGTTTGTCACTATGAAGAGCAGCTTCTGTTTTTACCATGTAATAT